TTTAATTTTGAAGAAAATCATCCACCTCTAAGAGTGGCTTTTCACACATGCAGATTCATTTTTATAAATAGCGCCAAATATTATTATAAGGAGCAATTATTTTAATAGTTGAGTTTGCTATTCTCTTATTCAAGGCGTTTTTCTCTCAATATACTTTGAGTAGTGAGAACCGACTTTTATTATCTCACAGTGTCAAGTTCCGTATAGTGGCGAACTAGGGGATGAATCCGGGTTTGCGCACTTTCCAGTAACCGATTTCAAAAAAAACTTGTCAAATAGATGTAATTCCACGTACTTGTGAGATTATTAGAAGATAACCTTTGTAAAGGCGTTTTATTATATTTTTTAAATAACTTTTTATAGAAGCTTTCTAAAATGGTGAAAAAAAAAGTAGGTTTAGGTAGTAAATAGTTTATATAAAAAAAGTAAATTATGTACTGCTAGAACCATGAAAAACGTAAAGTAGTCAGCCAACCTGACGTCAGAATGGCTGGCCACTTTATTTCTTTAATATTTCCGCTAGCGCAAAGGTAGAACATATGTCAATAAAGGTACTAAATAGTAGAAAATGCGTAGTAAATAATGAGCACAGTTTGATTTGTATTTCTCGTTTGGTCCAGCCATCCTGGCGGACACCGGAATTGCACCCACCATACTCCCGACGTGACACGCGCCCGACCCGCACCCGCTCTCAGTCCTTAAGGACCTTAAGGACCTTAAGGACCACGAACTGGTTCGAAACACGTTGAGCAAAAATTCCTAAAACTTAAATATGTGATTTATTCGTTACTTTAGTTAATATGGCCGATTCTCACATTGGTTTTCTATTTAAAATTAACAAATTAGCAGAGAACTTTCACAAAAAATAGTTATATAAATAAGTCCTACAGACTTGTTAAAGAAAAGTTTCATTATATTACCTTTAACCTGATGTCCATTCCCCGGACTTTGCAATATGAACGGTATATTATACTTAGTAGCTATAATCAAAGGGTATTTCGTTTTAGTTACACCTGTATCAATAAAAGTTCCTACTCCATTCTCGGGGTTGGTCAACAAATGGTGATTTGGTTCATTTCTTTTTAATGTACCGTAGACAAATATTTTATGTGTCATCTGGAAAAGAAAAACATCGGTCATTGTTCTAAGGGTTCATAAACATAACAACTTAGAAATTACCAGTTAGATTTAGGACCAAGTTTTATAGACGCCTTCAAATTAGATGCTTATAGAAGAGCTGCAGTAGCGCCACTACTAGTTTTCATTCTCCACTTTTGCAGTTGCGATTATTTATTTATTTATTTATTTATTAACCTATATTATACTGAGACAATTCAATTATATGGACAATTATATTAATAAATTACTTAATCTATTACATCAGCGCATCCTGAAGACGCGGTTTTCCCCAGCTATATCCATCTGGCTCTGTCCCTTGTCAGCCTAGTCCATAGAGGTCCAGCTATTTTTTTAAAGTCATTGGACCATCTTTTATATGGACGAACTGCAAAGTAAGGTAAGGTGAGTTGCAGTCACAATTAGTGAACCAAAAAATACTGCGTGCGCCACTGAAGCACTTCTACATAATATTAAAAAGCATCACATACACACATCAAAAAAAGTTTGCGATCAATAGCATAAGCTCCTATAATTCTTTAAATTTAACTTTATCAAGAAAAAATCTATGTTGTATGCTTTCTTTAAATAGGAATACCCTGTTTGAAATTAAAATATAAAACTATTTTTTATTATTTATTTTAAAAAATTGAGCCATTAATCATAATGTAATAGTGATAGAAATTTCATAGAAAGAAAAAGACTGTTTAATTAAACTTAAACAACAATTTATTATTAAAAGGTGTGAATTCAATATAAAATAACTCCTCCCCTGGCTCGAATACATGCGAAGATCCTCCTGGGCATGCTGAGGATCAAGTTATCCAGCATTTCCTGGGGTAACCTATCCCATTCTTCAATAGCGGCTTCTCTGAGCTCTGGAACTGTCTGGGGACGTGGCTCACGGTTCCATACTGCTCGTTTAAGAGCATCACACGCGTGCTCTATTGGGTTTAAGTCGGGCGAGCCGGCAGGCCAGTCTAATCGTGTGATATCGTATTCTTGAAGAGCAGCATTGACTCGTTGAGCTCGATGTGCGGGCGCATTATCATCGACCAGTACAAATTGGTGCCCATGGTTTACTCGGAATGGTCTGACGGTATCATCAATAGCAACTGCTTTGTACATGTCTGCTGTCATGAAGCCCCGATACGGGATCAAAGGCGTTCTAGCTCCAATCATAATGCCACCCCAAAAGGACACCGATTTTCCGCCTTGCTGAACTGTTCCAGTGGCAGTTCTTTGTCTTTCACGGTCGCCTGGTCTTCTCCAGACAGAGACACGTCGGTTATCTGGATGAGTGCTGATTCGGGATTCGTCAACGAAGAGACAGTTTTGCCAAATGTTTTTGTCCTCACCTTCTTCACTTTGCCGAAGTCTAGCCCACTGCAATCTTCGTTGTTGACGTTGCCGGGAATTGAGCGGAGCTCGCCAAGACCTCCGTGCTCGTAATCCAGTCTGGTGCAAGCAATTGCGAACGGTCTGCGTGCTAACTTCAAGCCCAGAGGCGGCCCTGACTTCTGCTTTTATTTTACTGGCGTTGATTGTTGGATCACGGGCTGCCAGCAATCTAATATAGCGCTTTTGGGCAGCTGTCAAAACAGTTGGGCGACCGCTGCGGGGTCGGTCAGCTAAATTCCCCATTCCGTGATACCTCTGCAACGTAGCCACGACACAGGATTGGGATATAGCAAGTCTGCGTGTTATTACTCTCGTGGTGTCTCGTTCTTCCCTCAAAGTTACTATTCTAGCTCGTAAAACCTCTGATAATCCTCTTGGCATTTTTTCAATCACAACTTTCCGCGAAAAATATCTTGAATCGCTTATAATTGACTAAATCAGATTTCTGAATGAGCGTAAGCTAGGACTGAAAGCCTTTTTATATGAAAAAACAATTGAACGGGGTCATTGTTTTATGTTCTAATTTATTTTTAAATAAAGAATCTAAAAAGAAGAAAAAATCATAATATAATCTACAGTAACAAAAAATATTTCAGTTTTTCGAAGTGATCGCAAACTTTTTTTGATGTGTGTATATTGCTCTGGAAGTTTATTTCCGTTCTCCGTCCGAAAAAATGAAAATTAATCAAATTGGCTTTTTCAATACCTCCAATTAACACTGCGCCACCTTTAATTTTGGTCATTTTCTGTTATTTTGTAAACAGCCATATTTATTTACTAATATTATGCTCCCCGAATTTATTATTTAATAGAAAAAAGAAAAAAAATCAAAATTTGAAAAAACAAACTTTGTGAAAAACAAAATGAAGAAACAAAAAACAAAATCAGGTCCAAAAATTATGTCGTAACGTAAGTGTTCAATGGAGGTATCGTTATTTGACATGTGCATGCAATATAAGTTAGAAACAATTTAAAGAAAATTACATAGACCCTTCATACAAAATAAAAGAAAAGAAAAAAAAGACTGTTAAATAAGTAATTATAAAGCTACATCTGCATGATGAATCTTTTTAACCGACTTCAAAAAAAGGAGGAGGTTGTCAATTTCATTTTTTTTTTGTATGTGTATTATGCAATAACTCGATGATTTGTGAACAGATTTCGATTTTTTTTGTTGGAAAGAGGGAACCTAAGAAGTGGTCTCATTTCAATTTGAAGAAAATATTCCACCTCTAAGGGCGGCAAACTAGGGGATGAATGACTTTTGAAGTTGGTTTATTTAGTACTTTAAATTTGGTCGAATATTACTCATTTGACAGTAATTGTTTTGGACATTAATGTCGGACAGAGAACAGGAGTAGAATCCTGATCCTTAAGTACGGATTCCACAAACACCCAGACCCGAGACAACGTACAAAAGTTAGTTTTTGTACATTAACCCGGCCGGAGATCAAACTCAGGATCTCAGAAATGGCAACCCCATGAAAACTGGAGTGCAAGTCACTGTGTGGTGTGCAACACACAACACTACAGAAGTCATCTAATTTGAGCCTTCAAAAAGACATGCTACCTATGGTTTGCTACCTATAAAATCTTAAAAAGTTATCTTTGTTTCCTACAAGAGGTGCGATTTAAGTATAATTCATTATTAAAAATCTATGCTACATCTTTTAATCATCATTATTACGTACTAAACATACCTTAGCGACGTCAAAACAACAATTTTAAGCACTAAAATTGTCTACTAATTACTACGGCTTTATATTAAAATACACTTACTGTTCTGATTATTTGCAAACGAAATGTACGGAATAATACAGTTCTTGATAATGTTATCATATAGCCTTCTATTTGTTTTATCAATTTGCATAGGACGTTTATTCAAAATTCTCCGCTATTCAGAAAGATTAGATTTGACAATCAGCTGACATAAACAATTTATTGCGCTAATAAAATAATAGTAAGAGATAGAATAATAGATTATCTTAAAGCGCTTTCCAGTCATTTCTAATATTACGCTTACGCCTTCAAAAATAAGCGCGATGTCATTAATTGAATTTTATAGAGATGTAGTATCAGTGTTACAGACTATTCTTCTATAAAGAAGTGATTCAGTACTTTTATTGCGTTAAAAAAGAATATATAACGTATTTTATTAGTATATTTATTTCTTTGTGTAATTTTATACTTAAAATTAATAATATAGAGAGATTTAATAGTTTTGAAACGTGTTATGATGTTACTCAGTAATCATATCGAAACAATAAAAGCGAGTATCTCAGCGCAACACTAGTCAGTAGGAATTTCCTCTTGATAGCGGAAGAATGTTTTGCAATTTTGCGAAAATAGTTTAACTTAAGAATTTCTATTTCCACTCAAACATAAAGTAGAACATGTGTAATAAATACTTTTAAAGTATAAGCGAGAATTTTTACAAGTGATTTTATTACTTTTTTATTTGTGGTTGCAAAATTTATGAAAAAATGAGGTTGGCCGGAGCTATATTCTCCAATGTGACGAAAATGCTGGACTTTTATTCACAATTTAATCCATCGCCGTTGTCTATAAAACAGTTTATAGACTTTGGTAAGTGCTTTATCGATTAATTCTTACTATAACGTACTCAAATTGTCAGTTTCAAGGCCGAGACTACGTGTGTAATAAAGTTTATTTATTTTTACACGTAATAAAGCTCGTATTACGTTATAAAGGGCAGCTTCGTTGCAATAACAATGCTTTTGTTACCTGCAGCATTTACTTGTTAATATATATTTACGGTAAAACTTTAAATGAAGGTAGTAAACATTTTAAGGATTAACTTTTGAAGACCGTCTACGTCTTCCAAGACCACGTTCTAATCTGAAACAAATTTACGCGATAACGTACTGAAAGTGTGTCCAATTGACTATAACAAAAGTCATTAATATTGTTCTATAAATGCTGGAAATATGAGTTAGTGTAGTATACAATGTTAAAAAATGTGTTTAAAAAAAAGAACGAAAAAAGTTTATTTTCTAATCTTATGATAAAATGTAAATCATAACAAAAAATTAAATAACCTTATGATTATAGACAAAATAAAAATAAAACAAATAAATAAAAGAAGTCCATTTAAATTTTTTTTTTCTAAATTAATGGCTTGTGAGACTAAGTTGTCTCAATTCTGCCAATTTAAAATGTTATCAAAATTGTCTTCGCTCAGTTTTTTTGTGACGAGACGTGAGAAAACTCCTCATTAGGCTGGTTTTCATTGAAGCCGAATAAATAACAAGGGTGATGTTGCTTCCTCTTAGTAAAATTCTAAAAAGGCATAATGTACCAATATGTCCTTGAAAACTAAAACAATTGATTAGAATCACACAGTTTATTCAGCTGGGTAGCTAGAATTAAAGTGTCATTACAGTGCCCAAATACACTTAAAACATTATTTATAATAATAAAATAACAAGTACCTACACACAAAATCAAAACAACATCGGTATTATAATGTATGCAATAACCTTAACTAGGCAAAAATCAAAATTAAAAAAGTAAAAAATAAATGCAAGTGTACTTTTACTTTGAGATGTTTCTTTTTTATTTCTTTAGCCCTCTCTATGGAAGAGACCCGTTGCCAGCAATGGGATGTATATCGATATCTCCCAGTAAGTTGTTGTAAGCTACAAAATAGCATTTTTTACTTTTTAATTTAAAATATGTACATAAAAAGGATATATTTAAGTTAAAAAGTAAAAATAAAATATGAAGAGATATCATCATTTCGAGTTCTTAGGTTTTCGCGATTGTTACATATAGGAAATGAAACTATTTTTCCGGACTTAAATTGTGTATATTTGTTCAGTCAACTATGACCATGGTGCCTGAAAAGGGCCCGAAACATCAGTTTGTTTGAAAAAACAAATATACTCGATTTAAATCTAAAAAAATAGTTTCATTTCCTACGTTTCAACAGGTTTTGATACTGTTTAGAGGCAGATGTCGTTCTTGTACATTGATAAAAAGTTGTGAATTATTATGTCCACATCTCCATGCTGTTTATTTAATATAATAAAACACTATCAGGTCAGCTGATACATAGATAAATGAGCCTCAAATGTATTTTTAATCAATATTTCCAAATTACAATGACTATTGTAATAGTAGATTATAATAAAAAATATTATTATTTATTCTTACTAACTTTGGGAGACCTAAACTTTTGTGAAAGATATGGTCGTGACTGGAATAGATAAGGGAATGCTTTGATGGTTTAATTATATGAAGACCATGAGTGTCAGCAAAATAACAACCCTGTATAGATTTAATATTGATATAAAGAAAGACTTATCTCAACCGAATAGAGGACATTGCGTTTCATGTCAGCAGTCCAAGTGGAAGCTACTGCATGGACATAAACTTTTTTTTATAATAGTATCATAGATAAATAAAAAAGACACTTTGTAACAAAAACTTAGTAAGTGACTGTACGAACACGTCGTGCTGATGGCAAAATCGGCACTGTAACTGTTATGGACACGCCTGTCCATAACAGTTACAGAGCCGCTCAGAGCTTCAGATCACAAAGATCTGACTGCGCCCAACACCCTGATATGTAAGTTTTCAAGTCCCATGTGCCTGTAATTTCACCAGCACCCTTACCCGTCTAAACCGGAATGCGGTAATGCTAACATTACAGCTTGGCGGCAGAAACAAATTAAGTGCCAGTACTTCCCTGGACGAACTCTTTCACAAGGAGCTCTACTGCTATTTTCTCTTTTTGACCTCTATCTCTGACCGGCACAAACCGATTCCATATTAGTCAATGTGGTGAGTCCTTTATAAGTTACAAATAAAGAGGTGCATATGAAAAGATGATCATGGAGGAACCAAAAGAACTATGTCAGGAGCATAGTGGGTAAAGGACCATACTGTAGGCCATAGACAGACAGATAATAATAATGCAAACACTCAACATAGCCCCACACTAGGGAAACCCGGACCTCTGCATGGTTATCGTTCGGGCACGGAGGGAGGATGTTGCAGGTATTGTTCTTGTGTCTTAATGAAATAGTTTGATATTTTCTAACAAAACTTTTTTAGGTTAACAAAAGTTTTTCTGTCTGTCTCGGTCTTCTGTTGACTTTTGTTTATAGCATTATTTAGATCGTAGTTTCCCTACAAATGGACCCTGAAGAGTCCTAGGGGGGTGGTACGGGCCTCGGAAGTAATTGGAGGCGTTAATGCTGTCCAGAGTGATATTTGATCTTGTCTACGTGGGCGGTGTGCGGAAAAGTTTGGGAATCTATGATTTAGAGCTATTGTTTAGTGTAATGAGTATAATTTGTCACATGAGAATGACTCAAATATGTATTTTATTGTTATTTGTTCATGAGTATGTTATTTGTGTTTGTAAAATTTTGGTACATTCATAACCAATGACAAATACTAACACTTCACAGTTCTTTGTTACCGAGTCATAAACCTATTCAACATGTTTGTTTTTTATTGGCTCGTACTTAGCAGCTTTTAGCAGCAGTAAAGAGTTCGTCCAGGGAAATACTGCCACCTTATTTATTTCTACAAGTATTCTTAGCATTACTGCGTTCCGGCTTAGAAGGGTACGGGCGCTGGTGCAATTACAGGCACATGGGACTTGTCAACTTATGTTCCAGAGTGACGGGCGCAATGGCAGTGCCCCTCAGGTCTTTGCGATTTAAAGCTCTGAGTGGCATGACTCCCGTCCCGTCACTTGATATTATGAAAAAAAACTTTAATTTGAGTTCTTTAATCTGTTGTGGCGAAATCGAAAAGCTTTGCCTTCCGATCCACAAAGGAAAATAAATACTTGAGACTTAGTTTAAATAATTGTGCTCTGATCATTATTTATTACGGACCATCTGTCCCAATATTTGCGTTTCCCAATTTGGTGGAGTAGCAAATCATGCCCCTTCACGCATGTTCCGTGCACTCGGCCGCCCCATAACAAAACCTAGTAAGTGCTTTAGACGAAATTTTACAGGAGAGCCCAAAAATACAAATCAAGAACGCCCTTAAACGTTTATGTAAAAATTTAATAGTATTACGAATAATATTGATGTCACAAAAATGATCCACTATCCACTAATTGCCAATTCAATTACCTGGTAAGGCACTTTAACTACTTTAAAACATAGTTAACTAAAACGCGGCTACGCGACTTCATCCTTCTAGCGATATCTTGGACGGTCTACTGGACGATGACTCGTAGGTTGCCTCAAATACGCGCTTTTGGCAGCTCGATCCTCTCCCATTCTTTCCACATGTCCTAGCAAGCGAATTCGAGGAGATTTATTTCCCCGATTATGTTAAAAAATGGTTAATTTTCTGAAAAATTGTCCCTTACTAAGTTTTGCTTTGGAGCAGCCGTACTCCACGTGTTCGTGCCGTCACCTGGTATCGAAAAACAAAACTAACTGGAGTCAAAACCAATGTTAATGAGACTAATATAATTTTACAAAAATTTTGAAATACGATATCATTTTTTTGTATTATTCAAGGGAAACAAACAGCCATAAAACAGGTAAATGATACAGAAACATCGATTAGAACAAATAGACCTGGAGTTCCACAATCATAAACAAGAATTTAGCAAGTAAATTTCGGTTCGACTACATTCAAATACAACAACATAATAAAGTCACATCTATTACATATTGACCATACGTTTAAAGCCAAGAATGTTGCGTTCCAACGCCCTCTGGCAGATTTTGTGTTTAGACTTCTTTTTTCGGATCTAAATCATGTACTTTTATTAGAGTTGCAACGAATATTCGGTTACTATTCGGTATTCGGCCTATTTTTAGCTATTCGGCTGAATACCGAATATTAAATCACTATTCGGCCGAATACCTAAGAACAGGAGGAAGAAATAAGAAAATACAGTTAATTATTTATAATAAATATTAAAAAAAGATTTATCCTCGAAATGCTACAGGTTATTAGGACAAAAATTAGATAATTATTTATATTTATGCATGATCGACAACTGTCACTACGGATTTTTTTAATCCCTTTAGTTTTAGAGTTACTCCGTTAAAACGAATTTGGTACTTTTAATGCGCAAAATTCAACATCTCCTGTCGCATGTTACGCGAACTTCAGGCATATATTTGTTTCACAAATTTGGGCGGAGCCAACGTCAAAACTTTTTTGGCATGAGAGCTCTTAAAGGAAAGGGCCTGAAACGTTTTATACACGATAGCACCATTCTTTTTATACTATTTTTCATATTGTCTTTGGTTTCTTTTTTTTCTTCTTGTTGGCTTTAAAAATTTAAAGTACGATACTCAACCGTTTTTTTTCCATAAAAATATAATTTTCTCAAACATGCTCGTTAATGTTTGCATTACTTTAAAAAAAAAAGTTAAAGTTTATCATTTATGCACCGCGCGAATTATTCCCGGCCAATGCCTGCAAAGTAAGTATGAAAAGCCACGATTGTCCTCTTCTATAAACTTTTATATCCACCTATTAATAATGAACTATGTAAAATAGTGAACAGTGTTCATAATTGCGAGAATCAAAAATACCTAGCTGTACCGCTTACTTAACAAAAAAAAAGAAGAAAA